TTGTGGAGTGCAATGAGATCACTGGGATCTCATTTTTATCATTTTAGTGAAAGGCACAGGTGAGAAACACAGGCGGGGAAACAAGAAAGGCTCCTAAAAGAGAGTACTGAGGGCCAGCGAAAGACAATGGATAGGCTTGTATCTTTTCCTCTTATCAAAACTCCTCATCAGCCCCCTCTCAGAGGTCCTGTGCAATAATTGCACTGTTGGAAAGTCCCTGAACTGGGCTTGCTTCCAGGCCCCAGTATGAGTCTTATTTCTTGCTTTTCTTTTTCAAAGCTAGAGTAGGAACAAGAGTGATTTAAAGGAAAACTGCTTTATATCTATTGGCTGAAAGTCTATTAGTACTTTATGGTTTATAAAACTGCAACCAGTGTTGGTTCACATCCCATAAAACTCAAGGGCATAATCCTAATATTTTATTTCTTTATAATTGAATTAAACTTTGCTCTTTGGTTACCTCTTCTATATCCCTTTCCTATAATCCCCACTTGAGGTAGAGAATTTAACCTGGACATTTCCTGGTAAGTTCAATTTTATCTCGTAATTCTTTTTTAGTTAAATTCAATACATATAGGTCAGTCCTAGAACAAATCAGAATTCCATTTCAATCTCTCCTATCTCTCCTCCCAAGCTATTCACTTCACATACAAATTGTGCTTCATTTGTGGGGAAGGGAGGACAGGTTAGTTCCTGGTAGAACTAATAGAGTGGGAGCACCTCCAGGATCTGACTCAGATTTCCAGCTGTACTGCTGCCAGGACTGGCCACATAATTTAGGGGGGCTGTGCATAAGGGAAATATGGGGCCTCTAGTTACAAAATAATTAAGAATTTCAAGACAGCACCTGGCTGATGTGGTTTAGCAGTTGTGCATTCACCCAGGAACCAAGAGGTCACTAGTTTGATTCCCAGTCAGGGCACATGCCTGGGTTGCAGGTTTGATCTCCAGTAGTGGGTGTGCAGGAGACAGCCGATCGGTAATGTTTCACTCTCATCGATGTTTCTATCTCTCTATCCCTTTCCCTTCCTCTCTCTCTAAAATTCAATAAAGAAAAAAAAAAAAGAATTTCAAGACAGCAACAGCAGAGCATTAAACCGCGTGTGGGGCCCTGTGCAACTGCGCAGGTCATATACCTCTGAAACCAGTCCTACCTGTGTTCTCTGTTGTCATCTCCCAGCCTGGCTCCCAGCGAAAGTTATGGCCACGGCCCTTTCTGGGGATGTTTCCTGTCTCTCCTGCTCTCTTGGAACCGTACCACAACTCTCACAGGTGCTGCGTGTTTCCTGAAGTGAAGCTGTGCCTTCGGTTTCTCCCCAGCTTTCATGGTCTGCGTTGAAACCCTCTGCTTTGGTGACTCTTCTACTAGCATGTTGCTGCCTTTCCTAGACCTTCCACCTTGCTGGGCACTTGGCCATTTCTGTATGTCCTCCATATACTTGCTGAACATCAGTCTCCATCGCCCCCTTTGTACAGACACCTGCTGCTAAGTGTGTTGTTTATCTGCATTTCCTATGGCGTGACTAATGCCAGTGGAAATCCTACTCTGAAACTTTAGCCTGTCAGGTTCTTCCAGCTTAGATTCCTCAGACTTTGTGATGGAACCCTTTATATTTATATCCTACCTCAATTTATCTGGAAGAGAAGAATAAGATAGGTGGGCAGATAGCATAGCTACTACATTATCTGCCCCCCCCCCCCATTTTCAGCCACTGGGTGTGAGGGGGTGGGAGTGACAGGAGCCATTTCCACTTCTCCCACTTTAAATGCACCCATCAATCATACTTGCCACACAGTCTAAATCAGGGTTGGCAAACTAAGGGCCAGGGATCAAATCCATCCACACCCATTTGTGTATTGTCTATGGCTGCGTTCGTGTTACAACAGCATAGTTGAATAGGTGCAACAGAGACCACATGAGTTGCAAAGTCCAAAATATTAAATATTTACGTATCCCTTTACAGAAAAAGTTTGCTGACCCCTGTGCTAGACATCACAGTTGAAAACAAAGTGTCTTTGTCTCTGATGGTACCTATATTGGGTGTTGAGTGGTGTTTTATGACCCCACAGTTAATCTGCCACTGATTAATGCTCCCTGCATTACTACTGCTAGGAAATAGTTTTACGTACATGTAGAGAGTAGAACAGGCATTATGATTCCACATACACATAGTGGGCAGAATAGGTATTATTATTCTCATTTTACAGAAGAAAAAACTATGGGCCGGAGAGGTTAAGTAACTTGTCCTAGCTTACAGAAGAAGTGACTGTGGGGCTAGAGGTGGGGGCACAGCTCTCTTATTCCTTGGAGTTAATAGCCAACAGTTCCAGGAGGATGCAGTGTGTTAGGAAAACAAATGCTAAGGATTTTGATGTATGAGGTCATGGGTCCCCTTAAGGTCCACTGTGGGGTTGGGTGGTATGACTAGAGGGTGGAAAAGAGAGGTGGCTATGGATCATTAGGTTAGAAAAAATTATTCCAAAAGATGGTGACTCATTTTCTTACATGCTTCCTGCCCACACACTGAGTCTGAAACTTGTGCATTGTGGTAGCATGACATGTTAGATAAATTAAATTCCTAATGTACCTTAATTAGCTAATCTCAAAGTTCTCTTTACAGTTCTTGCCAGCTTTTGCATGCAGAACAACCAAGGTTATGAAGATCGGTTGGATGACAGAATTCACAGCCCTTCACACAGCATCTTTAAAAATCAGATAAACATTTTTGATGACCTTGTGGCTTCCGATGCTCACCTAGAATGTGTTTCAATAGGAATAATTTTTCCTTTACTCCTTGCTTGGTTATAAAGTAGCTTGGCTCTGTTTTTAATTTAGGCTTCCCATACTCTGATCTAATCCAAGGGATGCTTGGGGACTGTTAGAAAAGACACGAGTCAGGAGGAGTTCAAAATAGACACAACCCATGACCCCATACATTACAAGTGGCTTTAAATTGTTCTTTTATGTTAAGAAATGGTCCAGAGTAGACTCTAGAGACCATTTAAAGGACGAGGCATTTAAAGGACACCTGAATACAATTGGCATATGTGCAGGCAATTAGAATGCATGAAGTCATCGTCAGCACACAGCTATGTGCAGTATTTCATTTTCTCTCCTGTCAGCATGAAGCAGTGATATCAGCCAAACCACTGCACGTCTTTTTCCTCGAGGAGATTAATCCGTCTTGTTAACATTGACCAGCAATTGTGATTCGCCTCACATTTCTTGAAAATGCAATCGAATTATTTGAGAGTATTTGCAACATAAAGACAAACATTTTTTTTCCTAACAGGAAATTTTGTGCAGTTGGTTCACTGGAATAAAATCAGCTTCTGCACAAAGTAGAATTTTTCTCAATTTGCCTAAAAATCAGTCCAATTTATATCCAGTCGAGTAGCAGTTGTTATGTGCCTGAAGTCTTAGTGACTTTGCCAATTCTGAAAATGTCAAAAGTCAGAACTGCAATAGCAAAGTTCCTCTTCAGCTCCTTGACAACCTCAAGCTCTGAGAAGTAGAAAGGCAAGGTGAGGGGAGCATGGGGAAGAGATGTGGTCTTAGAAGAATAAGGTTCTTCTGAGGTTGTGGGATACACAAGTAGAAGCTAGAGGAAAGAATCTACTGGTGGATACTATGCTCTGTGCCTAAATGTATTTCAGCCCCATGAAACGGTGCCTGTGAATTCTTTGGTATCGCAGTAACTCTGATATGGTGGTAAAAGCTTCACCCAGATTTCTCCATGCACGTGGGAAACCCAAACATTCTAGTTCAGGCTTTCCAGGTAATGGCCATATTGTTTTGGACCAATAAATAAATCTCTCTAAGCCTCACTTGCCTTATCTTTTATAAGAAGAATAATTCTAGTACCTGCTTTACGGATTGTTATGAGGATTTCATGAAATAGTACTCTAGATATGTGTACTTAACCCAGTGCCCAGAGCATAATAAGCTCTGCAGTGAATGTCAGCAGCTATTATTGTGAATAAAAGTGATATTTAAGAATAATTGATCAAATATATACTGCTGAGATAAAGTCTAAGGTTTTTGTCTTCTGGCTACATAGAGGTCTCTTGTTAGTGGGAGGAAATGACTGATTCTTATGTAATTCTGGTGTTGGGCCTTTTTAGAAGTGATGAAGTATAAGAAGGAAATCTAGTCCTGGAAAACCAGAAATCTGGTGATTTTCCAGAGATGCTCTCTTTGTTAGATGTAAAAAACAAATATTTAGAACTCAGATTAAATGATGACATTCTTTAGAGGCCACAGGTACTATTAAAATGTCTGAAAAAATTATAGTGCTCAAACAGAAAGAATATAGGTAAAATTTATTAGAAAACTTAAATTTGAGGGCCTTACTCTTTTTATGTAATCAATGACCATTGATTATATACTATGTCTAGTGGATAGTGACATCAGAATTATAAAAAATAAAGTATTATAAATAAAACAATATTTAAAATGTATTTGAGGTTAAATGATGAATCACTGATGTTGAAAGTGTCAGAAAAAGTTATTTTGTCATTACTTTACATAATAGTATATTTCTAGATGGTTAAGTGCCTTTCTCTTTATTACAATTGACAATAGCCTTATTTCTGCGATGGAAAATAAAAACCCCCACCACGTTATAGATGCTAAAAATGAATATAAAAAGGTAAACTAATACCCCCTTTTATTAAAATGTTGGTAAAAAAGGTCACTCTATTTTACATTCAAAGTTTTAAAACCCTCAAATGGTATGCTCATTTAGACCCAGGTCTCTAACTTTAAAAGATTTTTTTTATTTCTTGGTAGTTTCCTGATCTGTTATCTTGTTTTTTCTTTGTTGTGTTATTTTTTGTTTTTCTAGAAATCTTTTCTAGGTCTGCTGTTATCTTTCTTGAAGGATATTAAAGTGAATTTCATCAGGTATTTCATCATGGATTTAGACTAGGGTAGAATAACATTTTTCTAACTTGCCACAGTTATAATATTTTCCTAGAACTCTCTTTTTTTCTCTTCAATTTGTTGCCTCTGACAGGATACTAGTCAAACACCCAGTTTGCTTGGGTTTTAAAAGGATATTGCCTTTGCCCCATTTGAATGACTAGTAAAGACATAAGTCCAATGGGCAAAGTGAAAAGGGGTACCTTGAACTTTTGATCACAACATCACTGCAGTGACTTCAAGAAAATCCCCTTTCTTGAGAGATGAATTCTAACTTTCATAAAATTACTTAGAAGAATTTTCAGTTAGTCTGAAAAGATCTGTCCTAGTAGAATGAAATATTAGGTTATTTTGAGGGTTTTATGACTATTAGATAATGAGAATTGGAAAAAAAAATGTCAACATGGCTTGTTGCATAAGTAGGATGAAGAATATTTTTTAAAATTACAAAGGATATTTAAGGGCAAACCTAGTAACACTTATGATCAGTCTTTGCTATTAGAATGAGTAATAATCTTGTGAGAAGTGCTTGAACATTTCATGAGTTGGGATAGTTATAACTAGAGTAATCCAAATAAATAAGATACTCAGGGGGAACAATCTGACATTGATGGAGAATGAACTAGCTGATTTGATTGGTCTTTAGCATCTTAAAATTCACATAGAACTAGAACAGATGTTCCCCGTTGCCGTTAGTGTTGGGTGCTTTGGGTATTGCCATTTATGTTTAAAAGAAAGAATTAGGACAGTTCCTTGCTCATGTTCTGAAAGCCTCACTTGCAGCAGGCCTTTTGCCAGGTCACACTGTCAAAAGTAGGCTTTTCTGTGATTGTGTGCTTCCCCTTTTATCATGTACCATAATTTTTCCTTATAATTCTATAAAGTAATTTAAAAATAGAAATTATATAAATAAAATTATTGCAACATTACACCCTGTGTACTAGGTAGATTCTTGAAAAAGTATATAGATAAATAAAAGCAGGAACAGACAGAGGTTGGATACTTGAGAATCATAAGAAAGCTGCCAAAACCTAATTCATGCAGAAAAGAAGTTTTTGTTGGTAGGAATGGGAGTGTTGTGACCTACATTGAATTATAACATGAAAAGACAAATCTAAAAGGAGGTGAGAGCAGGAGTGAAAGTGCTGGGGAAAATCAAGGTCACAATTTGCAGGAGCTAATGAAGATGGGAACTAGAGTGGGTGTTTAATAGCTATAGACTTTATCCTTTAAAAAAAAAAAATATATATATATATATTGATTTCAGAGAGGAAAGGATAGGGAGAAAGAGATAGAAACATCAGTGATGAGAGAGAATTCATTGATCAGCTGCTTCCTGTACACCCCCCACCGGGAATGAGCCCACAACCTGGGGATGTGCCCTGACTGGGAATGGAACTATGACTTCCTGGTTCATAAGTCCACACTCGACCACTGAGCAATGCTGGCTCCGCATTTATCCTTTTCTTTTTACTTGTTCAAATGCTCTAGAAATACTTGTTATTTCATTATAAATGACCCAATGTCTTCATAAACAGTTTCTGATTCCTAGGATATCATTCATCTGACAGTATGGTCTAGTTATTGCCCAATTTCTGGGGGTTGGGGAGTGGAGAATGGAAGAGAGATGATCACAGATTAAAGAGGAAGGTTTGGAATAACATTTGATCTTTCTTTTCTTCACACCCTAGTCAGCAAATTCCATGCAAAGTATTGTGGACTAATTACTATGAAAGGAAAAGTGTATTTTGTGAATTATGTTAGGACTAGAGGCCTGGTGCATGAAATTCTTGATGGGGATGGGAGGGAGGCCCTCAGCACAGCCTGCACCCTCTTCAATCTGGCCTAAACCAGCAGTCAGACATCCCTCTCACAATCCTGGACTGCTGGCTCCTAATTGCTCACCTGCCTGCTGGCCTGATCGCCCCTCACTGCCTCTGCATGCTGGCCTGATCGCCCCAACTGTCCCCCCTGCTAGCCTGGTCACCCCTATCTGCCCCCCGCTGCCGGCTAGGTCACCCCCCTGCCAGCCTAGTCGCTCCTAACTGCCCCCCCTGTCAGCCTGGTCACCCCTTACTGCCCCCCCTGTTGGCCTGGTTGCCTCCAACTGCCTCCTTCTGCTGGCCTGGTCACTCCTAACTGCCCTCCCTACCGGCCTGGTCGCCTCTTACTGCCCCCCCCCCCGCCCCCGCCAGCCTGGTCACTCCACGCAGCCTGCTTGTTCAGGCATTTGGTCGTCTCTCACTAACCCCCCTGCCCGCATGGTCATAGGCAGCCATCTTGTGAGGGTTAATTTGCATATTACCTCTTTATTATATAGGATAATTTGCTTATTAAGAGAAGAATCTGTGCCCCAAATTACATTGGTTAAAAACACACACATTACAAATCTGATGTGATTCTTCGGTTTATTTAAACCTTTCTCATGAGGAGAACTTCCTTTGAAGAACTTTCTTAGTCTGCACTAAGATGAAGCAAAGGCATTCTCGGCTTCCTTCAGGAAGTTTATTACCGTGCGTGTCCAAAACTTGCAGGCATGCGGTCAGAGTGCCAGATGCCTCTTCTGTTACCTGTCCGCCGCTCCCCTCAGCACAATGGACAGGAGTTGGCCAACTCTGATGGAATGCTCACTGTTGTTCCACTCTGGGGCTTTTTGCACAGTAGCCTGTGATGGTCCCTCTTCAGGCTTCGCATCTTGTTTTTATAAGCTGTACCCTTAATAATTGACCAGGTTCCTTCTCAAGTAGATTTAAGATCTGTATTTTTATTGATTTCAGGGAGGAAGGGAGAGGGAGAGAGATAGAAACGTCCATTATGAGAGAGTATCACTGATTGGCTGCCTCTTGCACGCCCCACACCGGGGACTGAGCCTGCAACCCAAGCATGTGCCCTGACTGGAATCTAACTGTGACCTTCTGGTTCATAGGTCGACGCTCAACCACTGAGCCAAACATGGGCCAGGTAGTAATAGGGTAATGATTCTAGAAAAAGTATTTTTACTTAGCAAACTAATTTCAATTGCTGTGTGAATTTTGCATGGAGGAAGACATGGATTTCTCCGACTCTGTAGTGTGAAGTGAAAAAACAATGCCTTAGTAAGCATTTGTAGATTTATCTGGATCATCTAATTTACAGGGTATTCCTCCGCTCCAATTTGTATGTGTTTAACCAGTTGACTACCACGTATCCAAAACGGAAACCATCCCCACACGCCATGATATTTTGAATTTAATTTTAAAAATCAGCTAGCAATGAATATTATAAAAATAAATATAGTACTCACAATTTGGGTGTTCTTGAATATTTTCAGCTAAAAATTCTCACAAAAAATGATTTTAAAGTTGGTCAGGGCTGCCACTAATGGGAAACATTTTTTTTTTATAGATACCCATTGCCATGTGGGGAAGGTCTGCCGGTTGTGTCTACAGACGCTTATGGCGGACAGTGGGTTAAGAACTTAGGGGAAAACCCTACAGTGAGTAGGTATTTGGAATCAGACCTGGGTTCAGATCCTAGTTCTTCTATTCAGTAGGAGTAGCTGTGTAATCCAGAAAAATATATTGAGTTTCTTTAAACCTTAGTGGTCTCATCTTTAAAATCTCACATCATAGGGTTGATATGAGTATTAAATTAGATATTGTATGTAAAATGCTTAACATACTATGTAGCACTTCAGAAATAATAAGTGAGAGCTATTATAATAAGGAAGAGTATGAATGACTCTAGATGTGATACATGGAAGTTCTCTATTGTTTGGACATTTTCTGCTCACAAAATAGAAAAAGGTGGCTTAATGTGGACATTATTAAAGATAGACTTGGTTACACTATTGAGAAACTATGTTTTTCTACCTCACATGTTGTCTTATTCCTTCCTAAAACATTACTTGACTAGTTTGTTATCTCAGTTTGCATTCCTGAGATAGAACAGGTGTTGATTGCTGACTTTGTTGTGGAGATAAAGATAGTAAACCCCATTTGGCTTATCAAAAAGGACTAACATCCATATGCAGATGTCAGAGGAAAGAAATGAATGTGAAATTTCAGTGTCACAGAGGAAAAATATTTGCTAAGACATTAAGATCATGGATCTAGCACATGAGATTTTCCATCAGCCAGAGTAAATTAAGGTGGAAAAAAATAGGGAACTTAAGATTTTGACCTGATATAATATAATTAGATAATTCTAAAATGTGTTTTTTCTGTAATGGATCAATTCTGTAATTAGTTAATTCAATAATTAATGTTCATCAATGAATTAATATAATCCTATAAAAACTATTAATGCTATAATAAAATTTATTTTAAAATACTAATATCAGACTAAAATTTTTAGAAAGAACTAAATATAGAGTTGGTATACGAAAATACCATTTTCTGCATGTTTGCAAATACAATTAATTAAGAGAATGCATGTCACATACAAATAGTTATGCATTTATTCTATTTTAGGAATAGTCTAGTGTTGTAGATACTATAATAGAAGCATAAAATCCAGGGAAATAAGACATAAACACATGCTACAGTCAAATACAAATGTCATGTATGATTAAAGCTAAGTATAATTAAGTTTAATACATCACCCCTCACTTCCTATGCTTTGAGAACCATCTTCTGGAATTTCTGTTAACCCATGATCTAAGTTGAAGTTGTCAAATCAATATTTGATGTACCATTCCAAAGAGCCTTAAGATCTTATAGAGAAAGTTATTTCAGATAAAAGGAATTCACATGTGGTATGGAGTCATAGGGAGTCACAATTCAGTTTGGGAAGCCCATGTGTCTTAGCTGTGATGTGTAACAGGTCAAGAGTTAAATTTGAAACTTTCTATTCATCATCTCTTTTTTCTTTGGCTCGGGGCTGAAAGCAGCCCACTCTGCCCACAAACAAGCTGTGATGAAATACAGCAGGTCTGCTCTGAAGTGCTCTGGCTCCCATTACAAAGAAACCTCTCTTCTTTGTTCATCATCGAAGCACAAAAGATGCTCTAAAATTCCAAGGACAAATCACTGAATTAACCGGAAAACAGGGTGCAGGGTTAAGGACCACCCCACCTCTTGTGTTTATGTTGTTCATAGTTAGAGTGCTGTAGAGAATTCACACACACACACACACACACACACACACACACACACACACACACACAGAGTAGGAGTTCACTTCAAAAAAGAAGCATGAATGTAGATTTCAAGATTTGTTGGAA